CGAACTTCATCATGGCAGAGCACCCCCCCCCCCCCCCCACACACACACACACACACACACACACACACACACACACACACACACCCCTTGTATGGCCTTTTTTTCCAAGTTACTGGTGATCATGATGAATCACTATATTTGTACCAATCCTGAATCATTGGTACTCAAACTAATACAGTACAAAAAGAGCAATTATTTTCCTGTCCGAATTCTACTGAAACTTTTTATTTATGTTCAAATGGAACTGATGCAAATTATCAGCAGATAAACAACAAAACCATCATTAACGGTAAAGGGAAGAGGAACTGATAACAGGTTAAGTGTTACTTCTCTAACATAGCTTGTTTCACTTGTGTTTTAACAACTGAGGAAGATACCGTGCTTTCGTGTGTATGCTTTCGTTTTGTCAACTTTAGTTGGCACAGACTCTTTAAAAACCTAGCATTCCTTAAAGAAAAGCGTATCACTTGCCACCTTTCCTATACCAAATTTTGAGAATAAGCTCTTCTGCCCAGAAGAGATGGAGTTGTAGCCGTTTTGGTTAAACCTTGTCAATTTTGAGATCCTGTGAGATCTGTTTGCCCTGAAAAGCTGCGTTGAGAACGACTCTCATATACACCTACTTTCACTCAACCTTGGTAAAATTATTGGAGTTAGCAGTGTTTGTGTGTGCTAGGGTTGCGTGGCCATCTTGAATGGTGTTAACTTCAAAAGTTAATGATTTATACAGCTGTGCATCCAATGATTACATTGCGAAAGTAAAAAAAACAGAGTGATTCATGAGATATTTACAGACACTACAGATTTATACACACATTGGCAAAACYTTGTCTATCCCTTTCAGTGATTGGAGATAATGAGTACAGTTTTCACTTATATTAATGTGAGCGTAATCAGCCTGATATTTTTGTCCTTAAAAGCCCCAAACTTTTATCCTTCACTAGATTGATTTTTTCTTCCTTTTTGGTGAGCTGAACAAGAGACACATTACCAGCCTGTTTTAGTCACTGTGTATCTGAAGGATGTTAAGCTTGTCTTAATGAGCCAGGTCAGAGTGCCAAGGTCTGGTCTAATGGTTGTGTGTTTGCGACGCACCCACGGTTGTCTCGAAGGACTTCTCAGCCTATCACAGACGACTGGTTAATGACGTGCGATGAAGGTCGTCTTAGTGTGGCTCACCTGGCCTCTGCCGGGCTAGAAGAGCTGGGCCCGTGTGTTTACCGTTCTGCCTCTCCCTTCCATAAACTTGGTTTCAGCTGTTTGCGTTCACACCCTGGACAACCCCGCTGGCACATCCATCCACCGCTCACATTGCTGACACATGGTTGTTGTCTTGATTAAAGCAAAATCTGTTGAATGGACTCACTACTTATCCCATTCTTTGAGCTTATTTTTCACAAATAGTGGGGCAAAAAACATAAAGCTTCAAGTGAAGTTTTTTGGTTAGTTAATTTTATATTACAGCTGTTAATTGTTATAATATAGACCTGGTAAAATTGTGTTAAAATATCAGATTTGCATCATTTTTGGACCTTGATCAAATGAACTGTCCCGGAGGTGAGACTCTAATTAGCCACTTCAGCCAAAGGGTGTTAATGTAAGCTTATTACAGAAACAGAAAACACTCTCACTGGTTGAAGGCAGCTTCTTCAATGTTACAAAGACTAAATTGTAAGTAGGTCTTATTTTTGATAGAAAACTTTGAAAACCTGTGTGACGAATGAGCACTTTGATCAGTTTCAACCTTAAGCCTGCCTACAATGTATTGACAGAGATTTGCTAATTGTTAAACCATAGTGGAAGTTTTTAAATGATGGTTTAATGAATAAGCCTTTTTTTTGCTGCCACTCTTTCTGCTTTCTGAGATAGGCATTAACGATAAGGGAGGTAATTAATTCTTGCATTTGTAAAAAGAAATCTACAGTTAATTTATCTTTTCTTATGTCTCCTTTTGCTTGTTATGCTCTCAGTACTTCCATTAAACCTGCARTCTCCCTGTGGGCTAGTCTTGTCTCTACATTATTTAGTTGTCAGATTTGTGTTCAGTGAAGTAGCTAGCATCTTAAACCACTTAGTCATCCATGCAAATCTCACACCAGCAATAACCACAATGAAAAAGAATTAGAACATGCCTTTTTTGGGTTACGCGTTTTGTGTTTCTGAACAGATCATGTTATCTGACCTCATCACAGAAACCAATCTTTGTTGTGGCAGGTGTCAGATTACATTGAAGCTATTATTTATAAACTACGTTGAATGAATAATAAAAAAACACTGCTCATTTTTAGGGGATTTTACAAACTAGTGAAAGCACTAATCTTTGCTCTCATTGTGTACTAGAAAGAAGTCAACAGTACGCATCAAAAATGGGGATTTTTAGAATGCCGTGTGTACGCGTAAAAAAAAGTTATGCAAGTTTCGGCTCTGTATTTAATTATTTTTTTCAGGCAGCTGAGTTTTGCAAAGGTTTTCTTCTTTGAGTTTTCACACCGAGGCTCCAGCACGCAGCAGCAGAGTAAACTGCTGTGTTTTTGTGTCTGAATTCATTACCGGTAATTGAACAGCAAAAATTGTCTCATAAATGTGACAGAACCATTCACATCTGAAGCCTCTGCAGGGTAAATAAGTTGCAAAAACTTGTTCAACACATTCAGTGTGAGAATTATGAGATTTTTCTTTAAACAGCCTGTGAAGCTATTTGCATTCATTAAAAAAAAAGCCAAATCTCTCCTCTGCAGTTGCCTAACGTATGGATGCAACATCTGTGCATGAGTGTGGGAGAGCTTTGTTGTGTYAGATTTTTTTACCTGCTGCACAGGAGAACGTATTGTCTAAAAAAATAGTTTGATCTCAGTTTGTGCTGAAAAATGAGGATCACAGAGGGGTGAACCACGTCTGCACAACTGGTTTATGTTCACGTGTGTTTATGGTGAAATCTTTCTGTCTCTTTGCTTTTTCCAGAGCGCCTCCCTGCTTCGGCTTCTAAATGAGCGAATCGGGCTCACGCCGTTCCACGCTTGTTTCCCGCCTGCCAATCTTCCGCCGCAGTGGCAGCAAGAGGCAGGAGTCTCTCCCCTCCTCGCCGTCTTCAGGGGGCGTGGGAAATGGCGTCCACACCTCGTCGCCTTCCAGCACCAACTCCAGCTCCGGCAGCACGGGCAAACGCCGAAGCCTCTTCCGCGCGCCGTCTCTTGGGTTCACGGCTAAGCGGAACAGCGACCCACGTGTCCAGCCCATCAACCTGAACCTTGCGCCCGCCCTGACGCAGACTCCCGACGCCAACGGAAACGACCAGCAGACAATAACAACGTCGGCGTCAGCAGGGTTCAGCGAGGGCGGCAGGCGGTCCAAGTCGCGCCACTCGTTCGGCTTTGGCAGCCACAAGCAGAAGAAGATCCCGCGTTCTCAGACGGAAGACTTTGACAAGGCCTCCTCGTCTTCCTCCACCACCAACCGGAATGTGTTCATCAACTGCATTAGCAACTCAGGAGCCAATGAAGGGGACGACTCCGGGTTCCTCGACGACTACAGCGCGGGCAGTAATAACAACAGARGCTCGTCACGCCAGAAGAAACAACTGCTGCCCAAGTCCTTTTCTGCTCACCACCGCTTCTCTCGCACATCTGATCACCACAGACCCCCAGAGGTCAATCTGGAACCTTCAAGCTCCACCACCGTCACTCCAGGGGCAGGGGGGCTCACCCCGGGCTCATGGCCTGGTGAACTGATGGGAGCTGGTGCTGAGAGTTCCCTTCAGTCCCCGATAATATCAGAAGATCGAACTACAGCCATCACTCCTTCAGAGTTCATTCCCATCACAGAGGATTCAGTATCTGAGGTGGATGCACTCCCAGCTCCCAGTCCTGGTGCGACTTCAGATCCTGTCGATGTTCCTGGACTGGTCACTGATCCTGCTCCACCTGACCCCGCACCGGCACCAGAGAGCTTCAGTGTGGCAGTCTCTGCTTCCCAGGTAGTGCACTAGTTTCATCCAAGAGTCTTTGAAACCCTATATAAATAACTGTATATGAGGCATAGGTCTGGATTAGATTGTAGACTGTATAAAAACCACAGTTTCACAGTAATACAACAAAACTTTGCTTTTATTTAAAAACAAAAATACAGTTACTATTTCTTTAGTGCTTAAATAACATTATATACAGCRTAATAATGATATAACAGGTCCTGATGCATCTCAGTAATCCAGGTAGAAAAAATCAAAAAGAAAAAAACAAGCCTATTGTTAGGCGATGGCCCTCTTTTGCATGTGACTAACTTGTTTGTCCACCATATGGAGGCAGTGCTTATAAGGCTGAGTTCACCTGAAACTCATCAAACTGAAGAAGTCTCTTGGAGGAGAGACGAAACTTTTCACTAAAGAAGAACCCATCCAGAGGACCTACTTATTTTTTCTTTTTAGTGACATAATAGCACAGTAWTACTAAATATTGTATTTACATATAGTAATTTAAAATTTATTGAACATATAGTCACCATTTAAATTCTGTGTAAGCTTTTTTCTGCACTCAGAACACATTTTAAACCACTTTAGGATCAGAAAACAGACACTTTGTCTCCAATCTCCTAATAATAAGAATTCAAACTGTAAGAACAGTGTGGCAGAAATATGTAGCAGTTTTGACACTGTGACCTTTTAACTGTTGGGTACACCTGCTGGAAACTGGTAATTGGCCCATTCCTGTGTTTGTATAGCGCATATTTAAAATATAAATCAGCGTTGCTTGAGTTTYATGAAAATGTTGCACCATGCTGGCGTACTTTTTAATATAATAAATATAATACAATATACTTATAAACACATATAAAAAAAAGTAATTTGCGATATTAAATAAAAAAAAAATAAATGCAAGATTTTCTTTCCTAAGTTGTCTTCCACATCTTTAAAAGCTGAAATGATGTCAGAAGCGCTCTGACAACCATTTGGAATCTAAAAATTAAAGTAAAACGGAGAACTGAGCTTTTTTCTTTCTGTTGAAGGAACTCAGGCTTGAAAACGAATAAAATGTTCACGTCTCAAAACTGGCATTAATATTTAAAAACCTTTGAGCTCTCAAACACTCCTTCAAAACAACTTCTGCTTTTTTCTCCAGTTTTTGTCACAAMCAGTATCTTCAAAACCAAATGAAAACAAAGTTTACAAGCCAAAGTGATGCTCTGTGAAATGTTCAGATTCTCTTCTASCTAATGTTAGATGAAGCAGGAACTTCTGTCTGTGAAGGAATCAGATAGCTTCTCAAAACTGTTTTCATTATAGTCGGTGAAATGTTCTCTTCTCAGGTTTTTTTCACTCCAGCCCAATCAAGCACAGAGAAACCTTTACTCCCTGACACCAGCACAGCCAACAACACAGACTATGAAACAGCTGTTTCCCTCTCGGAGCCAGAGACAGCTGTACCCTGCCTGCCTCTGCAGGAACAATCACTGGAAGAACGGAAGGAGAGGGAGGAAGAGAGGCAGGAAGCYAGGAAGGAAGAATCAGCAGAGAAGAGGATGGAGTCGGTGCTGGAGAGGAAGACGGGTTACCACACAGAAACCACAAGCGAGAGCGAAGCGGGAGGGGTTCGCAGCGAGGGCTGCCACTCAAACCCCGAGAAATCCGAACGGAGGGCAAGACACACGCTCTCTTTTCAAGAAAGAGGAAGCTTCTGCGGCTGCCATGAACCCAGGTCCTCTCACTTGAGAAAACCACACGCAGGTATAGAAACRCAAGCAAACACTTGCCACTGAAACACAGATTTATAAGCAAAGTCCCTGACACACACCGACACAAGCAGGTTTAATCTTTATTGCAGGAGAGATACAGAAAATACACACAGAAGCTGCTTCTGTCACTTTCCTATTTATGTGTTGTTCTTGTGTGTCGACYGTTAATCAAAGTGTTTTAACAATCAACAATACTTCTGTCTGATGCTAAACATTTATTAGTTTGTTCAAATGATTCACTTTTTTAATGATWCGTTTTACTACTACCAAATCTATAAAAACATGGACGCCTATAAAAATGTATTAGTTTATTATAAAATAGTTCTAGTTGTACTGGTGGTCTAAACAAATTCAGTAAAATTTCAAGCTGGTTTTTGTAAATGTAAGGTAAATAGTGTCGACATATGMAGAATAAAGATAAAGTCTTTCAAKGTTTTGAGAATGTTTACTAGGTTTAAAAAAATCTATATATGTARATATTTARTAGGGGTGCAACAATACATGTACTCGTATCGAACCGTTCAGTACAGTGCTTTAGTTTCAATACACACTTGTATCGAACAATACAGATATTTTAAATTTATTTTATCAGCTTGTCTTCTGAAGATGCTCTGTGTTCGACTACTCCACCTAGGCTGCATTGTCGAGCGCAGATCCACTGATGAACTTGCTGTTTCAACAAGCTTTAATTTAAAAACTGTACTTTTGAGGTTAAACAAATGTTCATAATTAATTTAAATAAAATACAAGTTAAAAAGGGCATGGGAACCGTGAGACAAAGTATTGAACCAAACCGAATCGTGAATTTTCTGTATCGTTTCACCCCAAAAATTTAGATACAGCTCAAARTAGGTTCAAAATTCATTTAGAAGTTGCTCCTAAGTAAACACAATTGTTTTCACTTCTGAGAAACTAAACAAAAACACTTTATTAGTAGTATTTTGTCACAGTTATTTGCCTTCTGTCTGAGAATAAAACAGTGGCTAAGTTTTTAACTTTAGTAGCTCATAAAATGAATAGTTACTTCAGGCAGCAAGTTYATATTTTAGTATTGTGATTAGGTTTCACATTAAAGTAGCTACTTTATTCATTTTCTGGTATGTTGCTTTAGTGTGTCAATAATGTGCTGCAGTCAAAGCTGAGAGGGCATTCATTCAAAAAAGGTACACAACATATAAGTTTAGAATTGATCCTTTATCAGAATATGTAGTGTACYAAAAGTATAATTCATTTTAAAATAGATACTCTTGCAGTCATTTGTCTGTTGTGCTAGAAACTGCAAATTTGACTTGGAGTGATACAGAATGTGACGTTGTGCATTACAAAACTGACACGATGATTTGCCAACAATCATTTAGTCAGTGCTTGAGGCCTGCTGTATTTTAGTATAAAACATTAGCTCAAACACAACAACAGACACATTGTGTTAGAATCCAGGCCTGCAGGAATGCAGAGGAATATTGATTACACTGTAAAGTGTTCARTAACAAACAGCAGGAACCACAGATAGTGCTGCATAAAAAATAGATGAGCTTATCTATTGGACTCCACAACAACAAAGATTTGTTGTATTAATTCTAACCACAGCCCTCTGATGTAACTCCCGCAGTGCTGCAAAGATTTGTGGTTAAAAAAAACGTGGCATTAGTTTTGTTCTTATGCATTTTTCAGAGTCATCTTGTACAAAAACAAAAATGCACATTACATACAGTGAGACTACAGCATCTACTGTGTGTGAGTGCATGTGTGGGTGGAAAGTGTAAGAGAGAAAATGGCTGGCATCAAGTCCTGTTTTTGTGTTTGTTTTGTTTTAAAAGCCTGTTGCTGTTTGCGAGGACATGATATTGTCTCTTTGCTTCACTTCCATGCTCCTGTAGATTACAGCYGAGCAATTACTGCAATCTTCCACTTTTCTTTCTGAGAAGTATTTCCCCTGAAATCTAACATTCATTTTCTAGTTTTATTGTTACAAAGCAATCTTGGTGTAGGTAATCTGAATAAACTTGATTATTGCAAAGCAATAAATACAATTTGAACAAAAGGCAATATAGCTGAACAGCTTTCATGAAAAGGAAGTTTTAACTTCATTTAAAAAGTTGACGAGGTAAAAGTGGTTTTGTCATTTAGTTTTATGAAAGAGCCCCCTTTTCCCCAGAGGCAGTAGGTCTGACTGCTTTAGAAATTAATAAAGAGAGGATTATACGTCAACGTTTCCATCTCATTTCGAGATATTTCTGATTCTTTGATTGTCTTTGTTTCTTCCGGTCCTCCAGCTTCTCTGTGTAACAGTGCCAGCCCCTACCATGAAGTGATGCGGATGGAAAGACGTCTGCGCTCCTCATCTGAGGGTGCCGGTGGGCCTCGTGTCTATGGAAACCACAGGGATGCTCTGGGCATGGATGGATGTGGTCTGCTTAAACACAGAAACAACTCTTCATCATCGAAACTAGGAAGTCTGGTAGGCTTAAGCTGTGTGTGTGTGTGTGTGTGTGTGTGTGTGTGTGTGTGTTTGGGGGGTGGGGGACATTTTCTGAGCCACAAATCCCTAAGATGTATAGCATGAATACTAATGGATTGTTTTAGTGCACACGACTTGATTTTAAGTTTTGGATCGTGCTCGGTTATTGTGATTTCACACTTTAAAGGCACTAATTATTAATTTATAAAAAGTACAGTGTCATATCTGTATAATGGTTTATATTCTAATAAAGATATCAAAGGAAGGCATAGCTAGAGCATAGATACATTTACATGCACATGCAAACTCAAAAAAGGCTAAAAATGATAAGGGTGTGCTCTTTTCTTTTTCCACAGTATGACATCAATGTTTTTAATTAACTGTTTCTAAATTAAAACAGGAGGACATATTATAAATGAGGCAAAGAAATTAGTTGTTTTTTTTCCCCAAAATACATGTATTTGCAGTTAAATATGTTTAAAGCAGCAACGTGTGCAACCAGACCTTTCTGGTGCAGAACAATCAGGATAAGAAAAACAGCGAGCTGTCATTTGAGCAACAAACAAGTCGTCAGCTTGACTATGTTTTTATAAAGTAATGACTACACTCAGTGACCAGAACTACTCTTTTATTGTTATTCAGACATGTACATGTTTCAGATTCCTGAGCTGCATCTATTAGTGAAATCATTACAAAACTTCAATAGGCTCAATTAATTAAAAGATGCAGTATGCAAACTAAAAGAGCATAACATAAACACAGAGCTCAGTGTCACTTTGCCGATAAAAGCAAACAAAGAAGCTTTTAATCACCTAAATTCTGGCAGCTCACCAACAAGCCATCAGCTGTTTTATGTACACAATTTTGCTGTTTGGACAAGGGCTGTTTATAAGTTGGTTCACTGGTGACACAAAGCAGGAAAGCACAGATTTTCGTGATTTGATTACACCTCAGCAGGAACTCTTATTGCCAAGAACAAAACAAGAATTACAATACTGAGGCAGGTCAGCAACAAAGCATGGTAACAAGGATGTGTATTTTCAGGCAATTCTGTTGGAAAAAATATGAAAAATTCATACAAATTAACTGCAGATGTGTGAATTTTGTAAAAAACAAAAAACAAAAAAAAAAAATCAGACATATTTATTGTCCAAACACTCTTGACTCCATATGCTTGTATCCAAAGCAAAGATAATAGTTTTCTCATAGAGAAACGCTTCACTTGATTACCAAATTGCCATTACATCTACACAATGAGTTCCAATCTTACAGAGTTTAGAATGAGTGAGTGCAATTTGGCCACAATTACAGGCAGCTGCTTGCATACACTCACTGATTTCAGTCATTACTGATGCCTCTGACCGTGTAAATATAAAAAGTATTTCTGGACACCACCACAGAGCACTTGTTTTTGTCTTCTCGGCACATAAAAATCCAACACACAGAGCTTAGACAGATTAGCAAACATTTATGAAAACTCTGATAATGAGTTGGTTTTACAGAAAGTAGAAAGACGTAGTTGTACCAAATAATATTTGCAAAATAGGTTTTTTTAAGCTTTATATCTTGTTATAATGTCATTCCCTTGTCAAAAACATGCACAGAGTGTGGCTTTGACTCATTCATGCATGTTTGAGAAATCCTTGAATCTCCTGTGGTAGCAGTGTGTAGCTGCCTAAACGCTAAAGCACCGCCTATTTGTGCAAAGCTCCTCCCTGGAACTCAGTTCCCAGCTGAGCTCCCACCACTCAGAGCACCCCTCCCTCGAAGCATTGTTGTGAAAACATGCTGAAGTGGGAGCGTCTGAAACGGTAGGAGGTTCTTAAAGAGACAGAGGCCAATTTCAAGGCTTTTAGATAGACAACAAATGAAGGTTGCTTGATGGTATAGCTATGTGCCTGGAAAATACATAATACCCCCTTTTTAAGATAAGAATCTTTAAATATTTAAAGAAAGTATTAGCATAATATGAAAAAATACAGACAAACAAAAGTAGTGTTCTTGAATTCAAAGCTGTTTTTATTCAGCTTCTGCTTTCAGTGTAAATATGGATATATGAAGCACTAGAAAAACTTCTTCAGTCATCTGATGGGTTTAGGGCTTTTATCCTCTGTGTTTGTTTTATCTGCTTGCACACATTGCTGTAGTCTTTGTTGATGCACAGTTTGGCTAAATTCGTTTTTGTTTTTAGAAATCAGTTCTAGCGACCGGGCTGGATTTTCCACAACACCCACTTGGAAGCTCTATGGGAGGCAAGTTAGTTCAAATCAATCCTTTTTATGCTACTAGAGAGTAAACACTTCCCGGAGAGAATAAATACACAAAATACGTTGCCACCTATTGCACAGGCTACAGCTGCCTCTCGACGTCCACTTTACTAAACACGGTGTAATCTTCTTCTTCCCTTCATTGTGCCTATGAAGTACCCTTCAGGGCTTGAGTAATGGAGGAATGGTAAGAGCCAGGGAGTGTTTATTAAACTATATCCTGCCTCTCCTCCATTCATAAAAGTTTATCATCAGCTTAATGCACTTATTGCAAATGAAAAAACTGCATTTAGACACCCTAGTTTTTCTCTTATCGTTAACAGAGTGCAATACGTAGAAAGCAATAACATCTAAATAAACCTTATGACCACAGTGAGTGGATGGATGAAACAATTAAAATGGTCTGCACGTTGTTTGTAGTTTTACCGTGTGACTTCCTGGTGTTTTTGTGATAAGGCCTTTTCAGTTCAGCACCTGTGCAGAACTAAACAGAAACACATTAAAGCACAATACCAATCTGCCAGGTGGATGTGCTTTATTGTTGATTTTTTATCACAGCCCAAACAGATTATAACTGTCATAAAGCATATCAAGCTTCAGTTTGCATTGAGAAATGGCTGATTGATTTAATTTGCTGAAACTGACTGCACATCTGATGTGCGTCTGTGAATTGAGGCAGGCTTATGTTTGCTCATGCAGTTTGGTGATCTCAATCTAGCTGCGCCAGATTTACAGGAGAAAAAGTCCCTTTTAGACGAGGCGAGACACTTTTGTTCCAGGCATATTCAGTGTTAGTCTTTCAAGAGTCTCTCAATGACGTCTGGAATAATACTTTGACAGACCGATTGTGATTACACTCAAAACTTGCTCACAAAAATGACTTACCGGTACACAAAACGTTCTCAAGAAATTCTCCTATTTCAAAGACAGTCAGACCAACGTTTGTTAGCACTTGACTGACATTCAATTCATCCTACCCCTTTTTACCCCCACCTGTTTTTTATATATGTATACAGATGTTATATTCAAGATAAATAAAGAAACAACAACACTGAATATATGGCAGAAACAGAGATTCACTTTTGCATTTCAGCAATTGCTTAGAAACTTGCTGGCTGAGAGTATTTTAATGCAAAAACACCCCTTGTTTTCATACTTTCCAATACTTTTACAGTCCTATAAAAGCTAATTATTTAAAATAAATCTTGTTTTAATTATACAACAGATGAAGATGCTCTTCGTCTCGGAGACAAATTGTAAAAACTAGAGGCAGATGGTTGAAAAACAATGAGGATATTTGCACATGTTGCTCTTTCATACTCACTTTATTCTTATAAAAGCGTCACAAATATCTTTCACACAACAAAAAAAAAAAATGTTTTCAGAGGCAAGATACACACCATTTTAATTGTTTGTTGTCTCACTTCTGAATAATTTGTGATTAGTGAAAATATTAATAAACACATAMTCAGAGTTATTGTTTAGATAAATCTGAATGCGTATGTTTTGTGTAAGGCACATTTAATAGATAACATGTAGTCTAATCTAGTATTCACTTCTGATGTCCTCACTTAAATCTGGTATAGGAAAACAAATATATATGTGTGTGTGTGTGTGTGTGTGTGTGTGTGTGTGTGTGTGTGTGTGTGTGTGTGTGTGTGTGTGTGTGTGTGTG